CACTGATTTCCCCTCACTTAAGAGAACAGACATCATTTGTTGAGGGACACCAAACCAACAACACTACCTCTCTGGTGTCACTGATTTCACCTCACTTAAGAGAACAGACATCATTTGTTGAGGGACACCAAACCAACAACAACTGCCTCTCTGGTGTCACTGATTTCACCTCACTTAGAGAACAGACATCATTTGTTGAGGGACACCAAACCACTCTCACTGTTAAACTGAAATGTTAAACTATAAAAATGTAAAACTACATCTACCTTATGCTTATTTATTATTTGAGACTGAATGACCAGTTATTTGCATTTCAGGTCAAAGGATTCATCATCAAATGCCTGTTTGCATAAAAACTCAAGTGTCGATTGATACTTTACAATGGTAGTTTTTTCTTGTTATAACTATAATATTACTAATTAAATTATCTTTAAAAACATAAATCAATTCTGTACAACTTACTAGAAGTGCATAATATCATTACAAAAGAAAACTCAAACTTACAATAGGAATAATACATTAAAATATCAGATGGGTGTCCTCATTTTGAACTATATTTTCAAACATCTCAAAATATTTGGCTGGCTTGAGAGGTTCAAGTTAATCCCAAGTTTGCATACTAAGCTAACAACGCAAAATAATCTGTGTGTAAAAACTAATAATAGTTGAAATTACTTTAAATTCATATGAAAAAACTAACTTTAAAGAAAAAATGGTGTATGTTTAAGATATGCAGGTACTTTAATAACTACCTATATCAAACTACATTGCTAGTAATATTTCATGATTACTTAAATAATAGACCTTCAATATATTATCATGTATTAATAATCATAGTTACAACTAAAAACTAGTTACTTAGTTTATAACAATCAATATATTACGCTATCAATAAGTAAGTATGAGACCAAGTCTTACAGTGTGTAACACCAAAACCAGTGAAGCATGGTTCACCCATTAATACGTAACAACAGAGATGTAAAATCACAATAATTAGATGAATTATGGTATTGAGCAAAGGGGCTCAACAGCAGCAGCTTACGACACATAATGTGTAACTGAAATGCTGTTAACTCATAATGGGTTAATAAATTATTAAGAATAAAGAATTTGTCATCTGTAGTACTGTAATGCAATCTGAATACTCACTTTAAAACTGATAAAAGTTGTCAATTTTCACCACTTCAAAATAAATGTATGTGATCACTTTGTCATGATTACAAGTCCAAAGTAGGCATCCTTTAGTCTAACAATGAGGCAGATCGCAAACTATCATTTGTTTTCAAAGGTGCAACAAGTAACAGCTCACGATCAATTATAGAGCACTTTACAAACAAGCTATTTGATAATGTTTCTTTAGAATACAAACTGGGTTCGTATGAAGACTAGACTTACCAGATGTGACCATTAACACGTCATCTGCTTGATAACTCACCCACAAATCAATACAAGAGCACTCTCTTTTCATCGATTGTTGAGTAACTTAGGTTTCTACAGATAGGAAATCATGTGACATCCGTGTGCCCAGTTACTGTTTACATGGGTCAAGCCAATTTGTATTGTATAATGTGTACCTGTACCTAACATCCACCTCAAAATGTGATATTGACAATTACTCTGAAGTCTGACTTACTTTTTTTTTACAAGCACAATAAAAATTTCTGAGAATGAACATACCGCAATTTTGTTCAGGAACTCCAAAACTATATGCGTGAAGTACTTGTGATTTCAGGTTACTGAGAACCTTGATAACTAAATCTGAAATTAATGTTTATGACAAGAGCATAATTGAAAAAGTCAGTCAAGCAAAAATACTGAAAATAATATTTGAATAATAATAATAGTAATAAATAAGTAAAAATAAATTAAATAAAAAAAGGGAGGTAGCACTGTTAATGTATTGAAGAGGTAGACTTGTATAATCTATTTTTCCTTTACAGTATTTTTGGAAGTATCATAGCAATTTAGACAGATAGGAGTAACAAGTACTAGAACAATATATAAACATGATAATATAGACTCATGACAACATGCTCAGTTAAACCAAAAAAGACTCAAAACTGGAGGAATCTTACTTCAGTATAAAGCATACCTCAGTATTATGCATGTAGCAATGCTATTGAAATATTCTAAAGAATAATATCAGCACATTTATTGAAAAAAATACAGAGCTGGGGTGATTTGTAGGACACATCTAACTTTTAACAGCTGTTTTACATAATATAAATATATATATGGAAACATTTAATACAGCTTTAAATTTAAACAAAGACAACTACTGAAATTTTGAAGAACATTTAAAGTTCTAGTTCCATTTGATGCACAATAGTTTTGTAATAACCACTGTAAAAACTATCACAGAAGTTATGTAATATCTAGCTGAGCAACAAGTAACAATATAAGTTATTGACCACCTTACATAAAAAAACTGCTCACAAATCAACCAGCAAGCTAGTCTTTTTGTTCCTAGAGTAGGTCAAGCAACCACAGCATCAATGGAAGAAAACTTACATTTGTAATTCTAATAACTTGAGTATAGCTTTTATGTGTGGAAACATCTGTTGGCTGAGCTCTTGCACAGATATTAAAATATAGCATTGATAAACGGAAACATCGGCACATGTAGATCTTGAAAGTCGAGTTGTTCAAAACTTGAAAATAGTGTTGATAACTGGACCAATTGTTGGTTGAGATATTGCAAAGGAAATATCTGCTGAAGCTTTTCACCAGACACTAATCATACATATCTACATGTGCAAATGTTTTCGTTTATCAACGTTATATTTTAAGATCTGTGCAAGAACTCAGCTAACAGATGTTTCCGCATATAAAAGCTATCTTCAAGTTTTGTACACCAAAAAAACTTTTCAAATAACTTGAGTGAAGGCAGAGAAGAATATGTAATATGTAAACTACTCTATATTAGGATTACTTCCGATGGATTAAAATAGTCTGAATGTTATATAACATAAATGTTTACAGGCAACAAGGGACATATTGGTCCATCTCGGCTGTCTCGCCATTCAACTAAACCTATTAAATAAATAAATTAAAAAACAAAACACTTAAAGCCTGCCCTTATCATTCATATAGTTATCAAGCTTTCTCTTAAAAACACTTAAATTTACTGTGTTCACAAAATCCAAAGGCTAATCACCCTGTAAGAAAAATAAAACTGTCTTAACTGAGTATGACTCATACCTTGCCAAAATTTACATGTGTCACTTAGTCCTACTATTCTTGCCATTAAATATGAAAAAAGATGATGCATCAACACTATCAATTCCCTTTATAATCTCACACACCACAATCAGATCCCCTCTAACTCTTCTTTTTTCAAGAGAAAACAATTTCAAAGATCTTAGTCTCTCCTTCATCCCAGGTACCAATCTAGTAATCTTCCTTAGAGCCCTGCTTGGGAGAAGGTCTCTAGTCTAAGCCCTGTGACAAAGAACTAAGTTGAAACAAATGACTTTGCATGGATAAATGCTCATATACATGGGAGGGTCTCGTTTTCCAGAATGTATAGAAACTTATCTGTGGATTATGCCCATGTAAAACTAATCCTCATTTTTCACAATTTATTTGATACATGGAAACAGAAATGACATAATAATGGTATGTCTCTGATAAAACTTTCTCCAATTTCCCACCAGGAAGAAATACATCTTGAACAGACACAATCAGAGTTTGGAACTATGTTTTTC